GATGTGCTGAATAAACTAATGAATGTTTTAAATCAAAAATGTCATTTTCTTCACTGGGAGGCAACACATAGTGAAGAAAGATTAGACTTTGGAGTTACAGGGACTCACTTTAAATCCCATTTTGCCACTTAGAAGCTGTGACACCTTAGGCAGTTCAACTTTCTAAGTCTTCGTTTCCTCATATAGAAACATTTTGTCTGAAAAGCCTTTCTTTATAGGGTTTTTGAGCATGTTAAATGAGGCGATACATAAAAAGAACCTGGTTTGTTGTCAGGCATCATATACTAAATTGATTATTAATGATATCCATTTCTTACTTTATTCAACAAAATGTCAGACAATACATGGTAGAAGTAGGGGTAAAAAAAAAACAACTATACTATTGCTAATCCAGCAATAGGATCAATAGTACCCATTAACTGATTATTTATATAGGACTGAGGAAGAGAAGAAAAGAAATAAAAGATAATGACCAGATATACTAAGAAAATATATGGGCACTACTCTTTGATTTAGATAACGTGTACAGAATAGATTATATGTGGCTTAGCTCAGCTTCCGCACAAGGGGCATGGAATTATAAATTCAATTATAGTATCTTAGGTTCCTGTAGACTATAGGTCATCCAGGTAGAATTGCTGAGCTGATGAATGGATATACAGGTCTAGAATTCAGGAAAGATACCTGGCTAGGAATATAACTGTATGTTGATCAAAGGAGTGATTAACTCAATGATTGAATGTGAGCCAATTGAGAGAAGCTAACACTAAATGAATTATTTGGAAATCACACCTCACTTTTAATGTGGCCATTCTTGTGTAATAGTGACTGGAATTCCCTATTCAAGAGGAAAATGCTACTTTGTAACTTTGAATGTAGATTAGAGAAAACCATGCTTATTTAACCAAATGCAGTCCCTGGAAATAAACCATTTTAGGAGGTAAAGAATTACCCTCATTAAGCAACATTTTTAGGATGCTAATTATTTAGCACCATGTTTTGGTTTCATATGTTTTAGTCAAAAATGTCTCCATTAGTACTAGTTATTAACCACAGATGGAGATGGTGCTTACAGGAAGATGGAGTGACTTCTCAAAATGATCAATTGAGCAAATTTTATTGTTTTACAATGTCAGCTCTTAGAAAGGCATTTCTCTGGTCCTACTACAGGATGCTGAATTAGAGTCAGGCATGAGTCTCACCTCATGAGGAGGTCACCATTTCAGACAGGCAATGATGCATAACATGATTGATTCTTAAGGACTAAGGGAAAGGGCCAGGTTAGCTGGAGCAGGGGCAATTGTCTCTAACCCAGAGGCTGGTATCTTTTTTTTTTCCCCAGGGTTTGTGGCTTTTAAGCTGCTGCTTTATACTGTTGCTTTAGGGGAACCTAAAGTGATGTGAGGAAGGAATTGAAGGGGCAGCAGCATAGAAATTGGAAAGGGATAGAGACATTTGCAAGAGAGCAAAAACACCTGTTTAATTATGGCTGGGTATTTATAAAGGGGTAAGCAGCAGAACAGAAAACAGATAGACAGGCCTTTTGACTGTTGGGTTCAAGAATGTGATCTTTACTCTGTAATAGATAATAGACTCTGTTGGAAGAACTTGAGCAGAGGAGACATCAAATCTTACAGGGAATTTCAAAGGAATGGTATTTAGAGGCTTTCCTGGGGATAGGGTTTTTCCCCCTCATCTTAAAGTCAGAGAAATAGTATTTACTGAAAAAGGGTTGTTTTAAATGAGATAACCTATATAATGCTGTGGTTGGTAATAGTCTGCCTTCCCATCTTATTCCCTGAATGTGAGCTGATAATATCCACCTGTTCTTCATTAAGACCCCACGGCAGCAACTGCAACAACACTGAGATATTAACAAGGGCAGGTGCTAAAAAGGCAGCTAGGGACCCACAAGCAGGGATTTAGCAGATAAAGTAAAGGCAAGCAATAAAAAAGAGAAAGTTGGGGGAAGAACTGTTCGCCAAGGGCTGTTGAAAAGAAATAAATTGGAAACCTGTTATGCATGTATCTGGGACACTGCTATTAACTTAAGAAGGGAGAGCCCACTACAGAGAGAGCCCCAGCGGTTACAGAGCACCCAGGAAATAGAACCTGCAGGCTAGGAGAGGGGACAGTTGGCTGGCAGAAGGGATCTGTTGCTTATTAGGAAGATTGCTTTCATTGAGTTGAAATTGTGACACAATCTCAGCATCTATGAGTAAACTGACACATGCAAAGTTCCAATAGGAAAAACTGGCAGGGATAGGAGCAAGAACCAGCACCCCCCCCCAAGTGAACAATAAAGACAACTCTATAGAGCAGGGACAACTGAAAATGGGCCTCAAGTACTACACACATGAAGTCTTTACCTGCACAGCAAGTTCCAATAAGCTAACCCCCGAATTGGGTCCTCCTACCAAATTGGTACCCGGCCTGGCTAGTGAAGTATCATAGAGTCATCAGAAATGATAACGATTTGTTCACAGCTTGGGGAAAATTCAGGAGAGACAATGCTTGATACTTGCTTTCCAAGAGGGTCGTCGAGGTCTGGAGAGGGAATTGTGAAGCCCCCAGGCCTCCATAAAACAGGCAAACGGGTAGTGATGCCCACAGATATGTCTCACTTAGCTGCTGTAATCAGACTGTTGCCTGGAAGAGGGAACATAAAAGCTAAAGCCTAAAGAATAAGCAACAGGGAAACAAGAGAGAAATAAAGGTTAATGCAAAATATTGCATCAGCAGTCATAAAGTGATGGTAAAGTTTACTCAGAAACTCTGCACTTTCCTTAGGATTCTTGCATGAGTATACGGCTGTGACCTTGCAGACATCTACGAATGGGCTAGGAGAACACAGATCACTTCCCTTTTTTTTGAAAAATGAGGTCAGGTTGTCTTCTAAGCAGGCACAAATTAGTAATACTTCACTCCTGAGATGCTGAGCAAAGAACTACTGTTCTTTTCTCCTAAAGAGAGGATGTACTGTTCACAGGATGAGAATATTATTGAAAGTGTCAATCAATAATTACTGAATGGAGTAAACAAAGCTTCTAAATATTAAACTTATATACGTCCAGATAGTGGTTTTAGCAACTGTTTATCATTATATATATCTGCTGAATGACTCAATAAAATATTGGAAACATCAAAAATAAAGTGAATAAAGAAATGATTAAAATGCAAGCTACTTTAACAAGTATCTAAGTTTTAGTCCCTCAGACAAAGGGCTTGCTGAAGGCATGCACAGTGAATTTGAGGATATAGGTATGGTTGCATTCTCCTCAGTAGCAAAGCTGGGTTTTTCAGATGCTATTTGAGAGTCCTGCAGTACAGATAATTCCACTCACCCTGACACTGGTTATATACACACAGAGTTCACCTTGTACATTGTCATATATAAGCATGGCTGTAGAACTAAACGAGTTACTGCACTAGTTTGGTTTCCACTGTTGGATAAACATGGTAACTCATACCAATGAGGCCAGAAGTTGGGGTTTCCTTGTCTTATGCTTCCACACACAGTCCACCATTAAAGGAAGTTGGCATAGGAACTCAAGCACAAGTGGAAGCAATACCATAAATGAATGCTGCCACTGTCTTGTTTCCTCTGGCTTGTTCAACTGCTTTTATTTTACAGCTCAGGCCCAGCATCCCAGGAATAGCACCACCAACAGTGGGCCTGGCCTTCCTACATAAATTAGCAATTAAGAAAATATATCATAAATATGCCCAGGGGCCAACCCAATGGAAGCAATTTCTCAATTAATGTTCTCTTGTTGTAGAATATTATTTTAAGATGTGTTGCATTTGTTTATGATGTGAAACATTTGTTTTAATGATACAAATATGTGTTAAATTTTTATGTTTAATTTGTTTAACTCTGTGAAGCTGTGTTACTTTGCCTGTCTAAAACACCTGATGGTCTAATAAAGAGCTGAAAGGTCAATAGTGAGGCAGGAGCAAGGATAGGCGGGGCTGGCAGGCAGAGAGTAAAAATAGGAGAGAAAAATATCAAGGAATGAGAGAAGGCAGAGGAGGACTTCAGGGACTAACAATCCAACCATACCCAGCCATGGAGTGAGAGTGAAAGTAAGATTTACACAAGTAAGAGAAAGATAAAAGCACAGAAGCAAAAGATAAGTTAAGAAAAGCTAACAAGAAAGAAGCAAGCTAAACTGGGCATTTATAAGTAATAATAAACATCTGAATATATGATTTATTTGAGTGCTGGGATGAGGCCCCCAAAAGATCATATAGTTAAAAAGAAACAATTTTCCCTCTTTCTTTTTTTTTTTTTTTTTTTTTTTTTTTTTTTCTTTTTTTACGGGATTAAATGAGCCTTTATTAGGAGGAGGCAGGGGCGTGTCTGCAGAGGGTGTGTCTGCAGAACAAGGGTTTAAATTAAAGTCCCTAACTGTATTATGTCAAGGGAAGCCAGGGCTGGTTGGGACCCAACAGTGACCAATCACTGCAGACGAGTGGCAGGCCAGGCCGCTCTGGGCAGGTTGGACACGGTGCTGTTTCTGCCATTTACCATGAAACCAGTTTTTAAAGAGGGGAATGGGGGGGGGGGAGACAAAACTAAAGTAGACCTGGCCCTTTCAAAGACATCCCTGTGGACTGAGAAGTCATTGAAGTAAACCCTGTCAACCCTAGGCCCCTGTGGGGGTTTCTCTCTGGGCCTACTTGGGTGCCCCTCGGGTACCTTGAGCTTGTTTGTGTCCACCAAAATGAAGAGGAAAAGGAAAGCAATTTTAATAAAAAAATCACAAAAAAATAACCCAGTATCCTCCCTGCCAGCAGCCAGCTCTGGTTCCAGCACAGCAGGCCCAGCACCCCCTGGCACCTGAGTGTCTGACAGAGTCTGGGCTGTAGCAACAGACATGACTGGAGCCATGGTGGCACCTGTCACCCCTGGGCACTGCCACCCCGGGCCTGCCAGTACTGCACCGCGTGTAACACGGACCCTGGCTGGGTCTACACAGTTCACTTCAAATTCCATCATCATTGTGAGGTGATTAAAAAAGAAAAAACAAAAACCCAAACTTCAACCTATAGATGGCCAAGAGGAGGCAGAGACTGGGGAGCTAAAACGGGAAAAGCCAAAAGAAAACAAAACCCTGGCTCAACTTTGGGAGCCCCTGGTGCCAGCCTGGCCCAGGCATGTCACAGTGTCCAGGGTGAGCTCCCACCCATGCTGGCCAGGCAGAGCTGGCCCCAAGGTCCAAGTTTCTGCTGGTGTCGGGCAAACTAAAGGCAAAAAGAAAGGAGAAGGCCCGCAGGGGAGGGTCCCTGGTTCTGATCCCAGGCACCAGGGTGGTACCCTCTTCTGAACACCGCAGGGCTAATTAGCCAAGGCCTGAGCTGTCTCAGGCAACTGGTTAGGAGGGTGGTCTGTGTGTCCTAGACCAGGGGCCTCGGGAGAGCAGAGGGCCTGTCCGCAGCTGGGCCGGGCTCATACTATTTCTACGTGGCTGATTGGGGGATGGAGCGTGGAGGGATCATGTCCAGGAGGTACTCTCGCTGACGGTCCACAGCTGAGGAAGTCTTATGCACTGCCAAGCTTGGGCTGACGAACGTGAGGGTCCCACCTGTGCTCAGGGTTGTCTTTTTCCAGTTGGAGGTGGTGCCCTTGCTGGTGCTCACAGCTCTCTCGGAATGTCTGCCAGTCTTGCTTACCAGGGCCGTAGCTGAGGCAGCATTCTGCAGTTTGGGTGACTGGCTGAATGTGTGCAGAACACCATGAGATGTTGTGGTGGAGCCCCGGGACAGCTGACTGGAAGCCTGTAGCACAGCCCGGTTACTCCAGTCACCGGCCTCTCCTGAGCGGAACGCCAACTTACGTCGGGGCTTTATGACCTGCTTCAGCATGGGATGTGGGGCTGCAGGCTCAGCCTTGGTCCTGCTGCAGCAGTCGCTGCTCCATCTCCTGTTCCTGCTGTAGTGCCTTCACAAAGGCAGCCTTCAGCCGACTGGTGTGTTCCACCTTCAGGGCCTTCTTTTGGTTGGACGTCATGCAGTTCTCACACATAACAGTTCCACCCTTCTCCCGCCATCGGCATGTGAAGTCCGTCTTGCACTGAACACACATGTAAGGCTCCCGGGATAACACAGCAGCAGCTGCGCTGGCAGAGATCCTGCCTGCTTGTGTCTCCAGCAGGTTCTGCACCTCCTCCTCCAGGCCGACTAGGTAGATGAACTCATTGTTGGCAGCACTGGGCAGGAAGTTCATCTCTGGAGCAGGGGGCTTGGGAGGTGGAATCTCAAGCAGGATCTTCTCCAGTTGCTTTCGCAGTGCTAGCTTGGCAGCAGCCTGCCGACTAGCTGGAGACTCAGCAGATGCAACCACAGAGGCCACACTGGTGGGGGAGGAGCTGGCCTGAGCAGAGGCAACTGTTGTCCCCTTCAGCGAGGCTGCAGTGGGCTGAGGGATGTTGACAAGCAGACTGGTATTGGGGACATTGGCGACACGGATGAGTCCCTGCTGAATGAACCTCTGTCCCTGAATTTGCATGCTGGGCACTGAGGCACGGGGGGCTAGGAGGAGAGGTGGTGGCCCCGTGGAGGAATGCTGTCTAATGTTATGAATCTGGGCCCCTCTGACAAGCGGCGGCATGACTACTTGGGAACTGGCCTGTGGTCCCAGCTTAGCAGACACCTGCTGGCCACCTCGGACCAATGGAGGTGGGATGATGCTGCCCGGCATTCGAGCAGAGGAGGTCTGAAGTGATGTCTTGCTAGAATGTTCTGGGTACCCCGCACTAGAGGGGGAGGGGTGGTCACGGTGCTCCCTGAGGAAGCTGCAGGCTTCTGCACAGTGGCTTCCTTTTGTATTTGACTCTGCCGTAGCTTCTTCAACAGGACCAGCTTTGCTTCCTCTAGCCTCAACTCCTCCTTCAACTGCTTGATCATCCCCCTCGTTCTTCTGGGCTACTTTTCAGGAGCGCCTCAGTGCTGGTGTCCTTCAAGGCTGCTGTGGTCAGCCCATTCACCCTTGGGCTTGATGGCTGCTCGCTGTCAGAGAGCACGATCACATCAGGTGAAGGAGGTCTCTTCTTCGGACTTAATGTCACTGTGTGAGGTGCGCATGTCCACAGGCCCGTCCCCTACCAGCCCTTCGCCTGATCCTGAGGCCATGGTCTCTGCTGTCCTCAGCAACCCTTGGGCTGGGCCTGCACCAGGCTCGGGCATCACCCTGGTGTCTCCATCTACAGTTAGCTCCAATGACCCTCTCTCCATTTTCATTTTCTTGCTGTCCACATCATCCTCCGTTGGGTCTGGGTCAAGGGCTCGCTTCTGACTGCGGGTTCGACATGCTTCTTCGCTCATTCTGCCTCACAGTCCTGGACGCTGGTCCTACTATACAGCCACGGCCACAGTTCTGTCAAAAGGCAACTTATGTGGATGGGCTGGCTCAATGTGCAGGCCAACCCGGCTGCTTTCCGACCGGGCCCGGGGGCAGCGCGCTTGTCCACAGAGCCCGGGGGGGGGGGGCGCCGGCCGCGCGTGCTCGATGCACCTGAGGGGCCGCCCGGGCCCGCGGCGCTCGCTCCCCCGCTCCGCCCGCCTGCGCCGCCGGCCAGATAATGCGCCCCTCGGCCGCACACATCAATTTTCCTTCTTTCTAGATGACTCTAGTGTGTCAAATTAACCAAAACCTAATTGTCATATTTACCTGGTAAGTCCTACAGAGATCAAAATTGGCTCATTTTATCGATGAGGGAAAATGATCTTGAGTCAGGGTAGTGGTGGATCTGACCATTGTTAAGCTTCAGTTGCAATAATTGCAGAATTCTATGATGTAGATTGTGTATCCCCTATGGGTAAAGTCACAGACACCAGGGCAAGGAACAAGAGTAGTGTTATCCTTATTGTCCCTTGGCTTAACTCAAGTGCAATCTCATGTTCAAAAAGACCTATCTCACCCTACTCACCAGGTCTTCCTTGGCATTATTTATGTGCAAGATGCCATAAACAGATGTAGCCTTGTTTATTCAAAACACACCAGGTTATTTAAACTAGAGCAATGTGTGTCCTTAACAGATAAGCCTCCTGGCTTTGCAAACATCTGTGCGTAGATATACTTTCTATATGTGGCTGATCTGATTCTTTGAAGTTGGTCCTGACCATTGTTGTCTCAACCCAGAGCAGCTGTGCTCACACCCATGTGACCCTCATGAAATGAAACCTAGTCATATCACATGGAAGATGAGGGGGTGGGACATAAGTCTAAGAGAAGTCAGAAGCTTCACAAGAACTTTTATGACATCTATGCTCTCCTTAGGGTTATATGAGATATAAGCAAATGACAGGTATGGGACACTTTGGCAATGTAGCTGACACAGTGACTCTAATGGTGCAGCTTTTCATGAGTGATGCAAGCTACAGGTGAGATTTCTTCAATGATATAGCTGCCTCTATGCTGCCCAGGGTAGCAGCTTCCCAGATACTTTTTGTCACCCATGTTCCTGTAAGTATTTTCAATAAACTAACTGGACTTGGACAAAACTCTTTCTTGGCCTGTATGTCCCCATTCTATATGGCAAAGACTGACATTTCTTTACATCTCCAGATTAAAAACCATTCAACATATTCACATCCTAAGGACATCTGGGTGGCTTCTCAAAACTAAAATATGTACACAGAGGCATCTACCAGAGCTTTGACTATGGAACCTAGAGGAGAGGCTTCACTTCACCACCAAAATATTGTTGACTTCTACTCCTTTTCACAACAGCACTACCCAATGGCACTGAGAGTGGCACTCAGTTGGAACACCAGGCAGCATGGTGTGGACCAGCAGAAGTTTGTTCAAGCATTTCATATTGTTGAATTACTGAACACATGAGCTTGAAGGAAACCATCAATCCTCCCTAACATCTACAACAAGCTGGGTCTCCACACTGCCTTCTGCCCTTGAGTTGGGTCTGTGTGAGAATTCCCTTTAGTTTGCAAATCTCAACCCTCACTCCTGGATTTCAGAACAGGAACAGATCTTTTACTTGTGGGAACTTGCATCCTGTCAGTATAATCAGCCTAACTCCCTGCTAGGAATGAACAAAAAGAAATGATCTCATCCTACTGGAGAAAGATATTAGATATTAGGGCCCATTAGATATTCATCTCCATCTTGGCCCCAGGCAGAGCAGGAGGGGAGGAAATGCTATTGAGGTCGATGATGAGACATGGTGGCCATGACCAGGCAATGACTGAGAAAGCAGAGGACTGGGGGTGGGCTAACTGCCTGGAGCTCTCTGGCATAATTTTCTCTACCTCCTCACTGTCACTCACAGCTATTTATATAGCAGCAATGTCATGCCACATCAGCTGCACCTGTGCCCCGTGTGATGACTTTCAGTCTCAGATAAATACCATCGACGGACTTCAGGATGATGGGCACAATGGAACACCCTAGCGATTGATCTGTTTGTTTCTGTCCTGGGGCTGAGGGTCTATTAAATAAACACTGGTATTTTGAAGGAAAATCAGGTGAAATGGCTAAAAGGTGGACTTGTTGGATTTCTTGTTTGTCTTGGCAAGTAGTGGTTGTTGTTTGAGGATTTTTTTTTTTCTTAAGTGAGAATGATTTTTTTCCAGACACATAGATCCGGACAATAACAGGAGGGCCTTATTTGCCTGTTTCAATTCTGTGTAGAATATACTCCACAGCTGGCGAGATGCCAAAGGTTAGCTGATTTCCCTGCTCTATTGCAATGTCCTCTTCTAAAGGCAGATCAGACACAAGAAACAGCAAGTCATGTGATCTCTTCACGGACCACATCCTCTGAAAGCCTTGCTCCAATCAACCTGGTTGCTAGAGGGTAGGATTTATCACACTCTTTCAGCCATTTTGCAACAAACCTAGCTAGGGTTTGAGGGCAACCTCAAGCCTCACACTGTAACCTGATTACTTAGTTTTTTTATTTAATTTTTTTATTTAATTTATTATTTTACATGTCAATCCCAGTTCCCTCCCTTCCTCCCTCATTTTTACCCTCTCTGCCCCCTCACATGCACCCTGACCACCCCCCTCCTATTCCCCCACCCCAATTCCACATGTAGGGCAATGCCATCCAGGTGGGGTCATATAGATCTGTCAAGTCATTTGAAGTAGGGACTAGGACTTCTCTCCTGTCTCTAGGATAAGGCAGTATCCCTCCATGGGGGATGTGTTTGCAAGGTCCCTTTGTGCACCAGGGATACATCCTGGTTCCACTGTCTGAGGTCCCTTAGACTGCTCAGTCCTTCTAGCTGAGATCCATATTTATGGGGGCCTGAGTCAGTCCCATGCTGGATTCCCAGCTATCAGTCTGGGGGCCTGTTAGCTCCTCCTTGTTCAGGCCAGCTGTCTATGTGTTTCTGAAACCTGGTCTTGTCCTCTCCATCTGCATCTGGATTCTAGTTCAACTCAGTGTTTAGGTATGGATGTTTGATCCTGTTTTCAACAAGTATTAGATGAGGGCTCCATGGATAAGTTATTTGTTGATCTCACTCTCCGGGAAGGGCATTTATGGTAACCTTTCCATGGTTGCTCAAATTGTTAGTTGGTGGCAGTCTTGTAGGTCTCTAGACCTTTCTTTAGGTTCAGTTTTCTCTTCAAACCAATAATGGCTCCCTCTTTTATGTTCTCTCTCTCTCTCTCTCTTTCTCTCTCTCTCTGTCTCTCTCTCTCTTCTGTCCTCTATTCCATGACTCAATCTTCCTAGTCACACGTGCTTTCCTCTCCTACCCCTCTCTTTCACCTACTTCTCTCTCCATTCACTGCCCCACCACTTCTCCTGTGCTCTGGGGGACTTGTCCCTTCCCCCTTCTGTGAGGGACTTTATATGAATCTCTTAGAATACACCTTGTATCCTAGTTCCTCTGGTGGTGTGAATTATAGGCTGGTGATCCTTTGCTCTAGGTCTAAAATCCACATATGAGTGAGTACATACCATGTTCCTCTTTTTGTGATTGGATTACCTCATTCAGGATGGTTTCAAGTGCCATCCGCTTGCCTGCGGATTTCAAGATTCCATTATTTTTTTTCTACAGAGTAGTATTCCATTGTGTAGATGTGCCACATCTTCTTTATCCATTCTTCAGTTGAGGGGCATCTAGGTTGCTTCCAGGTTCTTGCTATTACAAATAATGCTGCTATGAACATAGTTGAACAGATGTCTTTGTTGCATGGATGTGGATCATTTGGGTATATGCCTAAGAGGGGGATTGCCTGGTCCTGTGGTAAACTAATTCCTATTTTCCTGATTGCTTAATTTTAGAGGGTCTTTGTTTAAAAAATGTATTTGTAATTGTAATTAGGACCAGAGTCATTGTCATTTATTATTAATTACTATGAACGAATGGTCACAAAGAGCTGCTCTGTTCCCAATTAAGAAATTGGCTTGTTGTTCCAGCTTTAAAATCCTAGGGAAAACTTATTTCAAATTTCAGTGTCCCTTTTCATTTCCATCTCCTGGTCAGAAAAGACTTCATGAAAATATAATAGCACTTTTTTTGGTCCACAAAGTTTAAATAATATCATTGAGTTCCGTGGGAGGAAGTAACCAGGTTCCCAGTGGAGAATTTTATACCCACTTTGAGAATATTCTTCTTTCTACCCTCTACAAGGCACTGCACCTTAGAAAATTACCATACTAACAAACTAACTAGGACCTTGTATAGTGCAAGATGACCCTGAACCTCCATTGGGCCTACACAAAAACATCCTCGGAACAATGAAAAAGGAACCCACAGATCCTTGTGGGCCCTGGTGAAATTTATTAAAATGTTATCAGGACTCTTGGATTCTCCTATGAGGTCTTCTATGAACTGCCCTAAATTAAAGAATAATTATAAAAACAGCGAATTTCAAGGAATCTGACTCACAATTTTACTTTTTTTTTTTTTTTTTTTTTTTTTTTGTGGGTAGGAAAAAATAACTGTGAAGAAACAGAAATGTCCACATCAATACTACATACTGGGCAACTTAGTGTGGTCTGTGCCTACAGACAGTTTCTAATGAAACAAAAGCAGACAGTAAACATATACATGCTTATATAGCAACTGGACATTTCCAGACAATCCAAGGAAGATATGAACAGGATAACAGGTTAAGTGGTATTTTAAAATCTTATTGATTTTTACTTTGAGGATTATAATATATAATGACATAATTTCTCTCTACCCTTCCACCTCTCTAAAGGCTCCTTTACCCTCCTTGCTCCCTTTCAAATTCTTGACCTCTTTTTTCATTAAAATTGTTGTTACACGAATATATGTATATCTATACACATACATATTCCTAACTATAACCTACTCGAACTATATAATGTTACTTGTATATAGGACTGACCATTTAGTATTGGATAACTAATTGGTGTACTCTTCCC